GACAAAACCCCTTTTAAATTTAATTTGTTTATCGATAATACCCCTCGTTAGGGCATCTTCAAAAGTATGACATGTGCTAGGGTTTCTGGCAGTAAAACTTATTTGCATACTAAATTATTGGGCACTTAGGGTTATGAGGGATTGTTACTAAAATCTAGTTGATTGTTTTTTCATTTCAAAACTTTTACAAAATTTTATACGAAATTTTTTAATTTTCTGATAAATACCTTTTTGATTTATATTCGTTATAATTCAATTTTTCTTGCATTATTAGCATGGGAGGCCCGAATGGATAGCCACGGTCGTGTTTTTTACATCGATCACGCAACAAGGACAACGTCTTGGCAAAGGCCTACATGCAGCACTGCTCCAGGGCCCGGCATTGTTGGCGCTGAACAACAACGACGTCAGTTAGATAGGCGATATCAAAGTATCCGACGTACTATTAGTTCAGGAAGGATACAGGACGTGGAGCAAAATTCTGCTACCGCTGCTAACACCATGCATCCTGCAGTGCGATTGTTAACCAGACCCGATTTCTTCAACATTCTGCACATGAATCAGGTATTTAAGATAATACGAAAAATAGTGCAATAGTAATTGAATTTCATTAAATAAAGTAATATTTTAAAATTTGTAATTTAATTTTAGGATGCCTTATCTCTTTACAACCGAAACGCAACATTAAAACATATGATAAGTAAAATTAGAAGAGAATCAACGGCCTTTGAAAAATATCAACATAACAAAGATTTGGTGGCCTTAGTCAACCTTTTTGCTGACACAGAAGCAAACCTTCCTACCGGTTGGGACACAAAAAAAGACAGAAATTCTAAGGTGATTAAATATTAATTTATTTTTATACGTACTCTTTAACTAACATTTACTAATCATACATCTGTTTCTGAACCATTCTGTTATTTTTGTATCGTAACTCGAAATTTTTTCTTTCACTACATGCAGCAATTTTTTATCGACCATAATAATAGGAAGACTACTTACATGGATCCACGTCTTCCTACAGACACTGTCAGCATTGCTGCTAGATTTTTGGAGTCAATGACTGTGCGTGAGATAATCGAGATGAACGATTTATCACTAAAATATTTAGTTTATTTCTTTTTTCAATGTTTATTATACTTTTTGTTGGCATGGTTTATTCCGATATACTTAAATAGCAAATGAATATGATTTACTAATGCAATCTTTAATTACGCATGCGCTTAGAACCGATATATCCTTAGTTGATATGAATAATGTGGAAGAATCTTATCACCTTTTACATATTTTAAAAATATTTTGACATATGATTAAATAAACTCCACTTGTTAATGTGAAAAAAATTTGAATTAGTCTGCTTTTTATACCAAATGAAAATTCAATGTAGTATTTCAAAGCATTTTCATTTTTAAGATATTTCAAGAAAAATGTTTTACGAAATGAAACGCTTATACACACTCAAATTCACTGACATTTAAATATATGTTGCCAATATGGACAAAATTTAAGTAAAAATTGTACGTGTTACCTGCGACGCGCGATTTTACCCTTTAATTGAAAGTGCGATTGTCTATATATACATTATAATACTGAAATGTAACGTTATACTATTATTCATAATAATTTATATTGTTTCGAAAAAATATTATGGATAAATCGTGTTACATACAGATGTAATTTTAATTTCATAGTTCCACAAATTGATTATTGATATTTGTCTAGCAAACTGAGTACCCATATTGCTTTCTGAAAAACAATACATGTGCTGCCATCTATTGCCAGGCATGTACGTATATCACTATGTTACAAAAAGTTATATTTTGAAATATTCTGCTTAGATGGCGCTAATATTAAATAATTTTAAAAAAACTTCACTGTTTTTGTTAACACTCGATTTTACTACGCATCAAATTTTCTCACCAGGGTTTTAAAATGAAATCGATTTTTAAGGAGTAAAATTCGAAAAGATCTGAAATAAAGAGGTTACGCTAATTTCTCCTATTATTTTTATTATCTTCCTCTGATAATTTTTGAAAAAGAATAATTACAATCGATTCCTAATTGGCGAAAATGCTTATCGACATATTGAACTTCGTAAAATAAAGAAGCCGCTTTACCTTTAAAAGTTTTGTTTGTGAAAAGACACTACCAAATAATAATTACTTCTGAACCCATATTTTGCGTAATCCAATAAATAAAATCACATAAGATATGATGTAAAATAATTATGTATTCATTAATGAGTATGGTGATTTTTAAGTTAGAATCGATACAAAGGACTATTATTTTTATATACTTATTCTTAATATAATATAGTCATACATANGTACTAGATGAGTGTCACTTCAAAAAAATGATCACGTTCATCTGAGTGAAAGTAGCAATTACTATTGCGCGCTCAGCAAAAGTTGCTCTAATACTCTAATTTCCAGTACAATATTACTACTTGGAATATGGCATATTTGTAATAAAAGATGTGGATGTAGATGATTATATTTTTGATAGTGTTTGGAAAAATTGCTTTGTAAAACAGTTTACAAAGACAATTTGAAAACACAGATAAAGATAGTACATAATAATTCTTGCTGGTAAAGAGCAGTAGAGGCTAGAGGTTGTCGAATAAAACGTACTAGATTTAATGCGGCGTACTGTCATACTTGAAAATTAAATTTAGTATTACATTTAGTACGAACGTGCTGACACTGGTACACATACACTCTGATGAAGTACGTAATTTCTAAAGGAATGTTAATATTTTGATGAATTACCATTACATCCACTCGTAGTAGTGGTGTAGCGTGAGGGTGCAGAGGGGCCACTGGCCCAGGGCTATGCAAATGAGGGGGAGGCAAAAATGTTTTCTTGTATTATGTATTACATAAAATCAGGTTCGCCGTACATCAGTAATATCCTGATTTCTTGGAATTTGCCGTTCAAGCTCCCGTAGTACAATAATGTACTTCGCAAAATATACCTATGAATATAAAAGCTGAAATCTTAACAATCGTAGAAAAACATCAAAAAGCAGAAACAGGAATAGTCTGACGGACTATAGATTTCAGCTATTATTATAATATAAGCAAGATTCGATTTTTATCCACACGGAGGCTCTGGCTAGAACAACTGCAGAAAATTAACTTCCCAGTCATAGGGTCGTTTATGTAATGGATCTGAAAAATAACATTCTTTATGCTGTTTAAACAAAAAGTCAGGAAAAAAGATAATTTACTTATTTATTACTTATCTCCTCAAAGGCTAAATTAAAAATATATTTTTGTGCACACCTTTTCACTACAATCCCGACTAATTTAAATAAAAGGTCTTACATAATTGTAAACAATTTTTTTTTTTTCTAAATAAAAGATACCCTATGTTCTCTTTTGTTCCCGAGACAATGTGGGTACGAAATTTCATGATCATCTACCGAGTAGTTAATGCGTGAAATCGTCCACTCATTTTTCTTTCAATAGGGAACAGTATCTTTTTCTGGATAAACAGTACCCTATTTCATTTTCTGCAGCCCTAATAGTGTATCCACAGAATTTTGTGTTGTTCGATTGAGTAGTTAAGACGTGAAATCGATCACATTGAACTATTTTTTCTATCCGTTGGGAACAGTTTTTTTTTTTTCTGGATAAAAGGTACCCTATGTCCTTTTCTGTACCCCTGACAAATGGGTCTACAAAATTTCATGATGATCGATTGAGTAGTTAAGGTGTGAAATCGACCACATAAAAGTAATTCTTTCTGTCCCTCGGGAACAACATTTTTTCTGGATAAAAGATATCCTATGTGCTTTTCTGTACCCGTGATAATATGTGTAAAAGAGAAAACCCGACAAACAAACAAAAAATAATGATGAGGCAAAATGTCAAATGTAGAAACTTTAAAATTTTTGGCTCAATCGTGGAAAAAAATTTTTAACTGGTAGTGTATGTCCGGTTTTTATTGATAGTAATAAATCGTAAGAAACGAAATGCGTAACACCTCAAATATTGATTTAAGTCCATTTACAAACATTGCAAAGTAATTTTGACATGGTAAGGATGGACAACTTATTTTTAATACAACTGTTGTTAGATTAGTTGTCGTTGTTTTATATTACTCATACAGTAATAAAATTGTAATTGTACTAGTAATAATGTTACACAAATGTACGTATATTTATTTTACCAGTTACTATCTGAGTGGTACAGCAGTGAAAGTAGGTACTTAATTTGAAGTCATAATTAATCCATCTGCGTAATAGTTTGGGGCATGCGTTGATTCAATATCTATTTTACGCCTGATCATGTGCAAAATGGAATATAATTGCACTTCAATTCTGCATGCAAATATTGTAAACTAATGTTTGTGTAGGTTGATGATCTATAATAATAATTCTGAAATGTAGACAAGAATTTCATTAGCGTTATACAAGGTGTAGATTTTTTGAGCTTCATCATGGAAGCATCAAGAAATGGAAAATTTATGTCGTATGAATAACTATTTATAGACAAATACATTACATTTTTGATTAAATGTCTCATTTTACCAATTTGTCACTAGAATGACAATAAAATTACTTTTTATATATTATCCGCACACTGTTTTTTTCTAAATAAGCAAACATTTCAATTACTTTTTCTTTCAAAAAAGTGTAATTTTAACTTCACACTTTCACGTCCATTCAGTTGTGCACATATTAATATTAAATTAACTTGTGTTACTTTTTCCGACTGGTCGCTTTCAGTTGATGCAAATTTAGCTTTGACATTAGTTTATTTGTTTTGTTTTAATTTTTCTTTTCGTATTTTCGTAAGATAAATAATCAAATTTATTTAGTTGCAAATATGCAACAGTATTCCTTGCATTCATTTTAAATTTGCTACTCTTAGTTTTATATCATGGAAATTTTCGCTTTCACGCATAAATGACCGAGGATTTTTCTAGCCATCTAACCCTATAATCACATGTGGAAATCTCATCCAAGTAAGTTATATCGACTTCTATAGTATAATTTCGTTACAAGCAACACTTTAGAGTTTCTTGTTACGTTAGTACGATGGTGAGGCATGTCTCTTTTCCTTTTGGTGATATCCTACGTGAACGTGAACTAAATTTCGGATATATTAAATAAGGAAAAGAATGGCGTATGTTGAGTACCTGCTCTATGAAGTCATGTATAGTAACAGTATGACACTCTTCCAAATCAAATATTAAAAGGCATTTATTCAGTATTAATTGGTAGTCGTGCAGGAAAATCTTCCTACTAATAGGAATGTGAGGGCTAGTTAGAAACATATTAGAACCAGAAACTGAAGTTCAGAGGGGAAGAGATTACAGTTCGCAAATTCGCAAATTCACTTTCAAGCCCAATTAGACTTCGAACTGAACACCTTTTCATGATAATGATGATGAATTGTAATTAATTATTTAGCCAATTTGCAATTAATACGAATGCAGCATAAGAGCAAAAGAGATCGAAAATGTATCAGTTGAGGATTGCGATTTACAACTTCCTATAATTAGTTCTCATCAGCACATCGTTGACATTGACTGACAGTTGTAACAAATTATGCAGTAAAATGTTAAATAACTTACCTAAAACTACTTTCGTTCGTTTGTTTTATATTATATCATTCTACTTGTTAAGGAACACCCTGTGTAGCAGTGTGCAGAATTAAACTTTATGTCGAATCGACTAGCATCGATTACGATATTTGTAATAACATACTATCGTATAAGCGAAACCTACAGCGAATGCACCCATAACTGTCGCTATATATCATCTGAAATGCGCAGGCATGCAATTTACCGGCATTCTTTTTGTGGATTTAAATGTCAGTTTGCTAATAAGTACTAATTAATAGGTTTATTTGCATAAGTTTACCACTGCTACATTTTATGCTATTGAAAATTGAAAAGGCTTATTACTTCTTCCAGATTTAATTGTTTTACACATGTACGTAATTTTTGAAAGGAAATTTTCAATTCACCAGTATTGTAGTATTGATATTTGTGAACATTTATTTAATTTGAACACTCATTCAGAAGCAAATAATGATAGCAAATGATAAATTAAAATTGACTTTATTTAAAACCTAAACTCCGTCAATAGGTAAGCAATGACAATTCTAGCGCAAAATCCCATGTGTTTTCTAGTGAAAGTTGGTATTATTTTACCCCCTTCGCGCCAACTCTGACGTCACGGCCATCAG